CAATGTCTGCCTTTCTTGATTTTGAACTTGGAATTTTGTTAAGTAAGTCGTTTTGAATGGTAGCTGGCATTATCCATTACAATAATCTTTTGATATATTTTCTATATTACAATCTTCGGAGTCCATATTATGTGCTGCAATGCATTTGTTTCCTTCCCCCGTTATGTTTTGCACTGTTTTGGCTATTTATAATTAACACTAATCAATTAAACCCAGACTGAATAATATTAAACTGCACAAAATATCATCATAATAATCACAATGTTGTTTACTACTAAAATGTAAACAAAGTGACACCTGTTGTAAAATTATGAACAGTATGAATCAGCTGTAGGCTAATATGTGGTGGTGGCAGGGGCCAGGGAGAAAACAGGGGAAAACAAATTTGTCCTTCAACCGCACATTAAATTCAGACAGAGTATAACATAAGGAATGCACTTTAAACACAAATACAAATTGTTAACAACAACATTTAACCAAAGAAAATTCATTTAAATAACACTATAACAATAAGCTGTTAAACTATTAACAGCTGTTACGTATGATTAGATTATGTATGCATGATGGTAAACCAATTATTGCCATCTATTAAAATTATTGGTTTTTATTTTCCACGTAGGGTTAGCTCTTCTACCCAACCGGTTTTTCATAGTTTTGGCCTTAAACTTAAAGGTGGACGCACCACAGATTTGACATTAAGCATCGGCATTAATTTTTACTTTTTTTCGAGTTAGTTTGTCTCTTCCACTCGACCCATTTTCATACTTCTATATCTTGGATATGGAATTTAAGTTTAAGATTATTATACATTTAAATTATCCTGATCGTTCAATCCAATGTGCATTCGATCAAATAACAATTCAAATAATTCGATTTATAACTTGTCGTGCCCTTGTGTATGCACGCGTATTTTGTTGACTTTGATAATTGAAAAAGGTTGATTAATTTGAAAAGATTTATTTTTCAATACATAATTGATTGATACAAAATGTGTAATGTTGTTGATGACTTATTTAACTCTAATTATTAACAATAACACATGGTTAGATGTTTACTTATTGCCAACATAGGATAACAATCTATTATCTATAATATTAAAACCAAACAGTGTTATTTTTATTTCACGATTCTGAATCAACCACTTGACGGATTTTCATGATTTTTGTGTTGAAAGAAAGATAATTTTGAGAACTAGGGAATGTCGAAGCCATAAATTTAGTTTAGGGTCCCAGTTTTTTAGAAATTAAGTTTTAATTTTTAAAAAGTCTAGCAGCCGACGCTAAGATTTTTAAACTAGCTTTTGGCATAAAATAATTTGCTTAACATAACAGCTGTAAACATTCAGCTTTTGTGTCACAAATTCAGCATTTGGATAAAAATGTAAAGACATACTTAGGGTTGACTTATTTATATTATGTGTAATGCTAAGCATTGATACGTTCAATTCTTCTGTAAGAGGATGGCAGATTAATTAAATTATACATAGTAAAATACTAGGATGTTCAAATTACAGATGGATGACATAGATGAACACAACGTCAACATTGACCTAGGATACTGCAATTAGACAAACCATCCTTTTATGAAATCGTGTTCAGTTGTGGTTACGTTTGGGGGCGACTATATCAGCGCCCCAAAACGTGAAAATATCACTTTTATTTCAACTATGAATATTGAATATATTGTAGTTTAAATTAACTAATATGGGAAATTACGATGTACATTTATTCAATGAGGGTGGGTAATTATCAAGGATAGAACTGATAACGGTATGGATAATAAACATTGACAATTACGTCATTAGCTTGACTAGCGTGTTTACTTTTTATATTCCTGCTACATGTGACCAGTTCTTTTTTTCAAATGAATGTTATTTGAACCAAACAGCTGTTTCAAAACAAACTGTTATTGTTTTTACTTTTCTTTGTTTACGCTTATTTATTTAGCAATTAATGCAGTGAAATTGATTCAAAGGATAGGTGTGACGATTAGTTTTGATTTTAGGACACCAAAGTTAAATTATGTGTACTGTGAATTTTATTGGATAATATGGTTTTATTTTAGGTTGTTTCTATTCAGACCTACTGGAAATTGTGTATAGTAGTTGTATTGTGGTGATAATAATTATGGAAGAGGCAAGTATGCTATGGAAGGCGGTATCGTTAACTAGGTCTATACACTTCTCAATTGACTATTACTCTCTCTACTGTAGGCTACTTATAATCAGTGTGCGTCTGTGCGAATCGGCTGCAAATCTCACTTCAAAGCTTTTCACATCGTAAAAATTGCAGAATTGCTGTTTTATTGTAAAATTATCGGATTTAAAATGCATATCGTATAGGCCTATGATGGAATAAAAACATATTTGGTCACACAACATTTGTTTACAAGATGATTTTTCACATTAAAACTGCAAGAAACTTTGTCTTTATATGTGTAAACTAGCTGATCTGAATTGTACACGGTTTTAACTGACTACTGAATTCCCGTACGTAGGACGGGCTTACACCTCGTACTTATTTAATACGCAAGCAGGTTTTTTGTGACAATTACTCCTCCGAAACTACTGAACCGATTTACATGTTCTTGGTGTCAATAGTCAATGGAAAGAGCGTAACATGAAGTTGTGCAGGAAACTTTCTTTTTAGGGAAATAATTAGAGGGTGAGGCCCTGGGGCCCTTTAAAGTTTCGTATTTCTCCATAAGATTAACATGGGAAACAAATATTGTTATGAAACTCCAGCTGTTGTCAGAAATTAAAAGTGAGAAGAAGAACATATGTTAATTGTAAACAGTAAATAAGTTTGCTAATTTAACAGTTAGTTTGCCACAAACATTTACTTACTCGGTTGAAATGAAATAGTTACTATTTGAATTTGGGTTGGCGTAATTATTACAATGGGAAAAAACGAGAGAGCCTGGATAAATTGATATACTAAAAAGAAAACTGAATTAACACTGTGCTGCATTTCTTAGTAATCATTAAAAAAACAATTTGCAAACTATGGAAACATAGGAAAGTCATAGAACACCACCAAGGGGAAGAAATAGAAATAATGTGTGTTATACACTAAAAAACAAAATCAGCTTTTGTAAAATGATAAGATATTTACAAGAAATGTTGATTATATCGATCTGTTATGTACATCTTGAGTATTCCATCATCTTTGAGTCGAATCTTTTATAGTCATAAAAAATATGACTGTTATTCGTTTTAAAATAACGCCTGTAATACTTAGCAATTGCTCGATTTCGAGCAACAGTGACACTAGTTAATTATAAAACATGTTGTTGATATAGTATAAAATGTACAGTGAAATTCAAAAATTATATTCTCTAGGCCTACTTGTTAGTCTACTTATAGAGCTAACTGTACACGTTGGATTGAATGAACAGTGGAGTGAATGAACAGGCAAATAATTTGTAAAATACTTTTTGGAGTGAACCATCTTGGAGTGAATGAAACATCTCGATAATTACAACTCTAAAAGTTGTTGCGTTATTGCCTGCTTGTATAGCCTTCATCTATGGCGACGCAATGCCCGCCCGCATCTTAGACCTTTCCCGGACTCGAATCTTAGACCTTCCGGGAATCGAATCTTAGACCTTCCGGGACTCGAATCTTAGACCTTCCGGGAATTAGACCTTCAGCAACTCTCATTTTATAAACATGTATTTTAAAAAGTTACATTGTGTGCCCAAGGTCTAATCCCGCAAGGTCTAAAACAGTATCAGTGGATGAGTTTTTTGCATTGACTGTACTCTTAGACCTTCCGGGACTTAGACCTTCGACATACTACCAGATTAGACCCTCAGCAACAAGTACAAACTGCAAAATGTGTGTCGAAGGTCTAATTAGACCTTCCGGGAATTAGACCTTCAGCAACTGATCCTTTATTTGTCAAATATCAATGAAAATAACGAAATCGGTGTAACGTCTACTACTCGACTCGAGTCAAGAGTATCTTTAACTACTCGACTCGACTGTCGAGTATTGCCAACTACTCGAGTAATTACTCGACAGTCGAGTACTCGCCCACCCCTACCTAAATGTTAATAGGAAATGTGAGCTATCATCATGCCAAATTTCAGCCCAATCCGTCCAGTAGTTTATGCGTGATTGAGCAACACACAAACATACACACAAACTCACAAACTTTCAGATTTATAATATTGGTAAGATAAGATTGTATAACAAAGCACAAATATGAAAAATTAATTTTTATTTTTTCCTCTAATTTTTTCCCGTCCTATATCATGATTTCGCCCATTCGGGAAGGTTAATATTCACTCGACAAACACTGCAAATTAAGGTTAAAAATTAAAATTAATGAGTTTAACATTTTGCAGAATAATTTGTACTACTGAGATAGGCCTCCTGAAGCAGTTTCGAACTGATGAACGTTACGATTTTTGCGTTATATTTGCTGATAGTTACTTATGATTAACTGTAAACTGGTAAAAACCCAATAATTATTACAATTAAAATTATGTATTTTCCAAAATTAACTTACACAGTCGAGCATCGATTGGATAAATTGTTGTGTCGTCTGTCTAACATGTATTTTATTAAAACTACCGGTAGACATTAAATTCAGTGAGTCGGTGGCTCAGTCGGTAGCGTCGCGGACTTCGGGCCCAAGGCAGCGATGTCGTGGGTTCGGATCCTGGTCACTGCCGATAACATTTTATCAGTACAGTTCACCTTTGTACTGTACCGGCTCACTCCTTGCTTTGCTGTAAACGATCCACGCACGGGCGCTTAGTCTATGTGGACGGGCAAATGCAAGGTTAAAAGAGGCCGCCAACCTCTTTTATAAAAAAAAAAAAAAAAAAGGAATGTAGCAATTATGGCTGTGTTTACAGGTTGATGCGGAAGAGTGGATGAGTCCTACGCAGGTGGGGGTTTGAACCTAACAATCTGAACGAGATAGAGTTTGCTGTACATTTAACTGAAAGATTTTATAGTTGGATATGAATATGATCCATGCATTTCTTACCTTAGTTCTGCTTTATGTTGTTTTTGTAACTCTAATTCTCTTTCTCTTAAGGCTTGTTGTCTTTTATGTTCTTCTTCCTGTTTAGACAGATCAAAAGTTAAAACAATCACTCAGCCGGAGAGAGGAAAGAGACAGAAAAACTTAACCACTAACTCTTCTCCTACCCTGAAGACGTACAGGAATAAAAAGTATAGCTCCTTGTAATTTTACCAGCTGATCATTATTAGTCACTGATTTTGAATAGTGCATGTAAACTTGTCATCCTATTGCAAAATCTAAAGTCTTTTCAGGGAATTTCTATATAGCGAATACACTGGAGGGAACAAAAAAATGTATATTTATTGTGACCATGAATAGAATAAATTGATTAATTGATCACATGTTAATTATTCACATATTGAATGACTTTTTCTTTTCCTTGGTTCATTGATTCCCTTGAATTATGTTTGATTAAAATGGAAGTAATTTTTCCCGTGTTTTGATTTATTTAAAATAATGTTGTTATACCTTTTTACCATGTAAGAAACAGTCTTACATTCTAACACAGAGCACACCTCAAAACTGGTGGGACAATGCAATGGCAGCAGTCATTTTAAAATTCCACTAAAGAGAAAGAACAAGAGATATGATGCTTACTCTACCTCAAATGGATGTGTAGCCTACTGAATTTAGAAATGTTCTGATTCTAAGACGGACAAGACGGTTAATGAATAGCCTTGCCTCAAGTGGCACCAATGAGAAAAATGTACAGCTTTTTGAACGGCCCTAGTAAGATTTTAAAATCATTTATAGAGCTAAACCATATTTACCTGTTCCTGCAGCTTGGCCAAACGGGCAGCTTCTTCTTGTCTCCTTCTTTCTTCATGTTCTTGAGATTTTTGTTGCTGCAATTGTTTCTTCTTTAGTTGCTCTTCTTTCTGTTTTTCTTTTTCAATTGCTATTTGCCTCATTTTCTCTTCTTTTTCTTTTTCAGCCTTTGCTGCCAATCGTTCTTTTTCCTTTTCAGCTGCTTCTCGAGTTGCAGCCACTTTTTGTAATTTTTGTTCTCGTTTTCTAGTAAATAAATATAGTTACATAACTAAGTCTGTGTATTTTAAAGGTATCTTATCTAGTTTTTAGAAGTGCATTATTTCTTTTTCTTTAAGCATCTACTCTAACTTTATTCTTATACTGAGTAAGCACTAGCACGGGGTATAAAGGAACAAGAAAATTAATATTCAAATTTTTGTGCATCAATTTTAATGATGAATTCATACTAAGTTTGGTGAGTTTACTGGTTTTATTGCAACTAAGTTAGTGTGAGTCAACAGTAAATCTAGCTAACCGTTGAAAATAATCATAATGCATAGGCCTACAAGATTCACTAAATGAACAATTAAACTATTTACTTACCTCCTTGTCTCCTCAGCTGTTGCTTTCAATACCTTTTCTTTCTTTCGTTTAGCTTCTTCCTCTTTAGCTTGCCTTTTTGACCGTTCTTCTTCCTTTCTCTTCCTTTCAGTTTCTTCAGCAGCTTGCTTGTGTATTAGACTGCTTGGCTCTGGCCGGTTAGAAGAGCCTAGTCCTTTGTTTATCTATAGATAGTAAAAACAATATTACGTTCTGAGACGAGGGTAGGCTTGATCACACTGCATTCAGCAGACAGGCCTAGTGAGGCTCTTGCAGCTTTTGTAAACCCATGAATGACTAAAACTTGCTTTGGTAATTCAGTAAATGAACAAAAAGCTTTTTTCTGTACAGTAAACCTTCAGCCTCTTATAGATGGTACAACACATCATTGCAAGTTGTTCCTATCACTCGACTCCACATTTAGGTTTAAAACTAACAAAGAAAAATATATATTACACTTGAGCAGCCTATACAATCCCAAAGGTGTATTCATTTGTGGAAACACAAGGATGACTAGTATGTAGGTGAGAGTACCTGGGTTTTGTGTGCAGATTCTAAGCCAGGAGTTATTCTAAGGTTGGAGCCGAGAGGTGTCATCCGAGCTCTCTCTGATGACATTGGAGGCTTGGTACCACTAGCTTGCAGCTTGGCCATTGCGATATTCTGGAGTGGTAAAGTAGAGTTAGTATTAGATCAAGTTACAGTGGGAGTTTTCATAACCAGTTCCTCAACCGATTATAGATTGGTTGGAGTTTTTGACTCCAAAAATAAATGTTGTGTGCTATATTACTTACTCCGGGAAATGGTTCTATGCGTCAAAATAATTAGAGAAAATCAAGAATAACATTTTTTACAAAATTGCTTCGTTAACCAGATATCCGCCATTTTGTTTTTGCACATTAACACATTATGATCATTATGAAACTTGGTGTGCATGTTAAGGTAGAAGAGACCCAAGTTAGAAAAGAAATTCATCTTGATTCATCTTAAGATTTCAAAATGGCGGCCATTTACATGTTTTAAACTTAAATTACTAAAAAAATGGCTGCAAAAAGATTGAATAAGAAATAGCTGAATTATTATGATTTTTAGTAGAAAAATAGGGCAAACCTGAATAGCTTGGCCTTTTTCTACTACATTTTACAACTAAACATTGTAATATTTCAGCAATTTCTTATTCGATCTTCTTGATCTTGGGATTGTTTGATAGGGAATTAAAAATTCTAAATAAAAAGTGATCTTGCAATTTTTTATAAAATCCACCATTTTTTGTAATTTAAATATAATAAACGGTATCAGCATTCTGACACATACTTTCTCCCATAAGTTTGTCAACAACCTTTATCATGTGTAAGCGGTGAGAGTAAATATACGGAAATGGGATTTGTACAATTTTGTTCAGAATTTAAAGGTCTATAACATACAAAATTTTTATCAAAATCGTTCGGGCCATATTTGGGAAAATCAGATTTTTCTGTTATTTTATGGGGGTTTTATGGGAAATTGACATAATTTACGATAACTTTTGAACCGCAATTTTTACAGAAATGGGATTTGTACCATTTTGTTCAGAATATAAAGGACTATAACATGCTAAATTTTTATCAAAATCGTTCGGGCCATTTTTGGAAAAATCCTATTTTTCCGTTATTTTATTAGGTTTTATGGGAAAATTTCCTATTAAAAATAAAAATTTCTAAAAAATTAAAAAAAAACTATCAAAATTGTATGGACAACATTGTATAGCACTATGTTAAATCAAAACCGGATTTTTTTCTAAAATCCTATTTTTCGTAGTTTTATGGGGCTTTTATGGGAAAATAACATATTTTACCATAACTTTTGAACCATAATTTTTACAGAAATGGGTTTTGTACCATTTTGTTCAGAATTTAAAGGGCTACAACATACTAAATTTTTATCAAAATCGTTCGGGCTATTTTTGAGAAAATCCTATTTTTCCGGTTTTTTATGGGTTTTTATGGGAAAATCCCCATTAAAAATAAAAATTTCAAAAAATGAAAAAAATGCCTGGAGATACCATGGATTAGAACCTACATACCAAATTACATCGAAATCGGACCACAGCTGTAGTCTCTAGCTCTGTACACATCCACACACACACACACACAGACATCACTTCAAAAACCACTTTTTTGGGTCCAGGGGGACCCAAAACGAATATATCCACTCAAAACTCAAACTCAAAAATTTTGACGAAAACAATACTTTCTCCATATACTATGGTATAGGGGGAGAAAGTAAAAATTAAAATGGCCGCTATTTTGAAATCTTATTATGAATCAAAATTAATTTTTTTTCTAAGAGGGCCTCTTCTACCTATACCTTCTACACATACCAAGTTTCATAATTATCGGTTGAAAAACTTTATAAAAATGTTAATGTGAAAAAAACCAATAAGGGATATCTGGTTAACAAAGCGATTTTGGTAAAATGTTATTCTGGATTTTCTCTTTACCATAGAACCATAGAACCATTACCGGTACCCGGATTTTGACTGTTTACTTACAGGACACCCTGCATATGCATACATTACAGCTTTTGACAAAATAACACCCTATTTGTAATTTTTGGAGCAGCCATTTAAAATCCATGATAGCCTTAGCTGAGTTTTAATACTTCTGTAAGTCAGGAAAATTATAAATTTGTAAGCATATTCACAAAAATGCTGATGGAGATTAGTAACCTATATTTTATTGTGCATTTTTTAGGTGTAAAAACAGGTTAATTTACATTCATCCAATTGATGAAAAGAGAGAAAGTTGGAGCGTTCAACACTTTATTTCCAGGCTTGAGGAATGATGAGGTCATATTTTTAAATTATTTCAGGAGATGTCAATTTTGTAATTTCGGAATAAAAGACACACTTCCCGCCATGTCTTCTCCCAAATGCATCTAGTCTTATCCCACAGCACAGGCCTTTCTTGAACCAAATGAATAACAGTTCATTGTATATCACAAATACTTCAGCAATGCCACTTTAATGTCAAAACTATAACCCTTAAAAATGAAAAAAACACAAGCTTTAAACCAAACAGGCAACAACGTTGTGCAATTTCAAGCATATCCAACACTGATTTAGCGGACAGTGTCAGATAAACCGAAATGTGTGTATGCACGTATTTGGTCACATAGGCCACTGTTTCGGCGGAAGCGGAAAAATTTACGTTGTTGTAGTGGCAGTGGGCGGCTGCACAGCTACTGTCAGCGGTAAAAAAAAATTGTTTTTTTCCGTCCAATGTGTTCCAATGTGGTCATATATTCTTTCACGCCACTGTTGGTAGGACGGCGATGCAGAATTTAAGCTGTGGTAGCATTTTTAGCATTTTGCTAGACACAACCTAAAAATGCTTCATTCTTTTTGCAGGCTATATTGCTACAAAAAAATTGAAGATGTAATATTACTGGAAAATATTTTTAAAATGCTTAAAGAGTAATATTTTTGCTACAGTTGTCTGAGAGTTTGTAGCATTTTTGCTAAAACAAATTCCATCCTCAGCCTATATCCTGCGGGGACGTCAAATAATCCGTGGTGGACCCCAACATGTGTGTCCCCAGCTTTATTCCACTTCAAAGATATTCAAATCAAATTAACACATTAATGTCTACAAACTGAAATCAAACTTCCCCTCAAACCATCTAAATTTTCAGACTACAGAAAATGGTAGGTAACTCTATATGGCATATATAGGTAAATGTGGCATAATTACCCGAGTTTGTTTGGAGCTTTGGACCTCAGTGGCAGATACAACAGGCATATTTTTCTTTGTATTTCTTGTTAGTCTTCCAACTGCCATTTCTTCTTCACTTTCATCAGTTCCATTTTGCATCTTTTCAAAGTCTTCAATTCTCTTTTTGACAAGTTCCCTAAAAGTGTTGATTGGTATTTTTACGTAAATTATAAAGTTACAGTCAAAGTGTAGCATTTGGCAAAATTTTCTGGGTTGGTACAAACTTTTAGGTCTGATAATAAACTACAGTTTAAGTTGGGTTTTACATTTTGAACATGTAGCTAAACAAGTCACTTATGGCTTTGTGTATTGTATAAGACAAATAAGACATTTATTAGTCATTCAACAAAATTACAAAATTTGCAATAGACATTGTTCATATGATTTACATTGATATAAACATAAACTATTCCAATCTTAGTGATTTTTAAAAACATGAAAACTACAGGTAATTATTCAAATACAAGTATTTGCTTGTGCACCTACCTACAACTAAAAAGAAAATGTACATGCTTCTAATCTTGCAAAAATGAACATTGTTGATCATTTTGTAGATATTAGATGGATAAACACTCTCCAGCAAGAATGAAAAAAACCTTGAAATAATTACTGTACATAGCATGTATATTTATGTATACACGCTAGTATGTCAGTATATATTCAAGGGAAGTACTCTGTTCCATTTGTTATTACATTTCCATTAATGTTTTTTCAGGGTGTCCACCAGGCCAACCAGAAAAAAATCATGAGTAATTCATGAGAAAAAAAATCCAGGTAGTTCAGTTTTACTTTTCATACTAATATTTCCAGAGTGTTTTGCGCCAACTCTCGCAATGCTGTTTTAGCGCTAACACAGCTCGCTATTTTAGCTATCGAAAAGAGCATTCTCAGTTAAAGAAACCAAATTTATGATTCATGAAATATAGCCTGACACAAGTATTAAATTTTTATATATTTCTGATTAAATAATCCGAAAATTAAAAACTAATCCTTAAACCTGCAATTTATTTAAACTAGCCAATTTAAATTCTAAACTCTTCAAAAACACATTAAATAAATAGGTACCACGTTAAAGGTTAATGAAGATATTACAAAATATAAAAAAAACTTCCTATAAGTTTGCCATTTTGAAATTTTTGGTCAATCCAAACTTGAGGTTATATTGTGAATTGTGATCATCTAACACTGTCGTAGAAACACCATCATCGTTTTCTGCTATAACTGAAAAATCCCGGATATCTCACTCAGTAACAGAAACATCACCACTGTCTTTCGTGGTCATTACAAAATTCTGATATTTTTCAGGGGTAACGTCATCGTCTGCTCCCGCGGTCACGGAAACGACATCGTCGTCTCCCACGGTTACGGAAACGTCATCGTCGTCTCCCACGGTTACGGAAACGTCATCGTCGTCACCCGTGGTCATGGAAACGTCAACGTCTGCTCCCGCGGTCACCAAAACACCATCGTCTGCTCACGCGGTCACGGATACGTCATCATTGTCACCCGCGGTCACGAAAACGTCATCGTCGTCACCCGCGGCCACGGAAACGTCATCGTCTGCTCCCGCGGTCACGAAAAAGTCATCGTCGTCACCCGCGGTCACGGAAAGGTCAACGTCTGCTCCCGCGGTCACGGAAACGTCATCGTCTGCTCCCGCGGTCACCGAAACACCATCGTTTGCTCTCGCGGTCACGGATACGTCATCATTGTCACCCGCGGTCACGAAAACGTCATCGTCGTCACCCGCGGCCACGGAAACGTCATCGTCTGCTCCCGCGGTCACGAAAAAGTCATCGTCGTCACCCGCGGTTACGGAAAGGTCAACGTCTGCTCCCGCGGTCACGGAAACGTCATCGTCTGCTCCCACGGTTACGGAAACGTCATCGTTGTCACCTGTGGTTATGGAAACGTCAACGTCTGCTCCCGCGGTCACCGAAACACCATCGTCTGCTCTCGCGGTCACGGATACGTCATCATTGTCACCCGCGGTCACGAAAACGTCATCGTCGTCACCCGCGGCCACGGAAACGTCATCGTCTGCTCCCTCGGTCACGAAAAAGTCATCGTCGTCACCCGCGGTCACGGAAAGGTCAACGTCTGCTCCCGCGGTCACGGAAACATCATCGTCTGCTCCCGCGGTCACGGAAACGTCATCGTGGTTCCCGTGGTCACGGATACGTCATCGTCATCATGCGCGATCGCGGCAAAATCACTAACAAATCCCACGGCCGTTTAGACATCATCGTCTTCTTTTGCGGTCACAAAAACGTCATCTTCATGCGCAATTGTGGCAAATAGAAAATTCCCGGTAAAATACAAAATTCACGCATAATTCCTGGTTTTTTCCTGGTTCAAAAAATTCATGCATAATTCCCGGTTTTCACTCAATGAGGTTAAATGAGTAAAATATTTTCATAAACAAACTAAGTTGCCTGTAAAAATTACTACACTGTATTTATGACATAGTAAATACTGAATAACTAATTACAGTAGTAGCAATTTTGAGTTTTTATGCATATAAGATTTTGTTAATAGCATCACTAAAAAAGGTCTAGGACTCTTTTCCTAACTTTAGCATTTTAAAGGAGATTACAAACAGAACTTCTTTATGTCAATGTCAATCAAACAATACACAAATTGTTCAAATCAGTTAACACGTTCGCTACTGCACTAGTACAACATTTTTCATTCATATAGACCAGCGACGGCCCATTTCTACTCATAGACTGCCGTCGTATATATGAGACGGTTAGTCACTTTAAAATAAACGTCGCATAAGGCCCTGAATTCTCTGCAGTGGTCTACAGGGATGTCTGTCGCACAACTTTGTCACTTGGTCTGTGGATATGATGATTGGTGACGTAATATGATAGTTGGAAAAACTGTTTTTAACTTTGCTGCATCACTGTATGTATGTATGCTGCATTATCCTATGTATCGGGTAGCTTTTATATTTGTTCAATTATGAACTTCTTTTGAAAAATCTATTTTTATTACTTATTTTCACAAAAATAAGTAAATAAGTTTATGTTTTTTGTTTAAAAACATGAACAATAAAATTCTGTCGCATATATGGGGCGTTTGGGCTATTTGAAGAAAAATATAATAATTTTAACTATAAACTGGGCATCGCAAATATGCGACATTACAAAAGGTTATCAAAAATATAAAAAAAACAAGAATACATTATTTACAAACACGATTGCAACGTATTACAAAGTAAATGATCACTGTTTAATAGGTTTTTGCCCGTGGTCTGCGTGTACTGTTAACCAAGTGACAGTCCGTCTATATGTAAGATTAAATAGCATACCTCGGTCCGTGGCATTGTGAATGTTTTAATGGGAAAGATTCTAATCACAAAACTTATGACTATTTATTGATAGTAATAAACAATATACAACAGATTTAATGCCAACCTTATCAAACTCACCCTTTAGCTGGAGCAGGTGATAGCGGTACAACCCTGTTAGTTTTGTTTGTTAACGGATTATTCTTTAATTCAGATACCAAATGGTCTTGATCGCGGTCATTGTTTAGATTAGTTGTTTTTCCCTTTCTGATTGTTTTGGTTCTGGATCTCACACCACTTGTTTCAGTGTCAGAAGAATCAGATTGGCTTCCTTTCTCGTTTTTGTTTTTTAAAGTTTTTGTCTTTGGTTTCTGGTCTGAAATTTCACCATCAGATTTTATATCCTGACCATGTTCATTGTGTTTGTTAAATGTTTTAGCACGAGATTTGGCCTTGATTTCTGGACTAGATGACGAGTCAACTCTTTCAACTTCATTTACTTCATCATCTGCTGATTTTTTCAAAACCTTAGTTCGGGATCGAAGGTTTGGAGATAAGTCAGGTTTGCTAGCAATAATATGAGTTTCATTATTTCTGTTCACATTTTCTTTTTCTTCCACACTAATAATTGTACGTGTCTCCCGGCTCCTTAATATTTTTGTTTTACTCTTTGTTACAGTAGTATCTATTTTTTCAGTTACTTGGATCTCTTGTTTTTCAATAGTCCTCTTTGATAAGACTTGAGTTTCCTCTCTTTTTTCATCAACAACATTACTAATTTCTTTAGCACAAGCAGATAGTATATCCGAATTAATGTTAGCAATCTGCTCATCAAACCCTTTAAATTCCTCATCACATTGTTCAACTAAAATAGGAGAACTTTGTGCAATTGGTAGATTTGTTTTTAGGAGCTGAAATTCTTCTATTTTTGAAATAGATTTCTTTTTAGTTGATTTGGGTAAAGGATCTGAATTAGGAGGCTTACTTTCACCAAACAAATCTCCACTCTTTTCTCTAGAAGCCCGGTCTAAACTTCTACTAGATCTTGTACGACCAGTATGAGATTCAATGGTTGGTGTGTCTATTTTTTCGATGGAAACAGAACAATGTTTATTAATTTGAGTTTCGCTATTTCCAACATTTTCAATTATGTTTTTGTTAGTTTCAACAGAGTTAATATCATCTGTTTGAGAGCTACTGCTGCCTGAAAATTAAAACAAATTAGTTAAATTAATCCCGTTAAATTGAAGTCCCGTTTAACTTCATAAGTACAGTATTAATGAAACTATTGATTGGATAAGTTAAGCTGAAATAAACAAAACAGAATACAATACAAACAAATAATCACACCTGATTTTAATAAGGTAATAAATTGAAAGAATAACATACAAATAAGTACAGCTGAGGTATTTTTAACATTAGGTATATGGAAGTTCCCTTTAGAAAGCAATCACGAACTTAAAAAGCAATATATGAAATAATGGATAGTTTAGAGCAAGGTTTCTCGTCATGACGAACATTTTAAGTATATGGTTTATGGGGGTGTGACTTTTAGTTTTCTCAAAAGTTCATGGGTAGGTACTTTGGGTTTTATATAATTATGGATTACCTCATTATTCAAAGAAAAATAACAAAATTAGTTATTTGTGCAACTAGTGAGCAAAGTGAGCAATTGCCTCACTCGAGAGAAATCCTTACTCACGAGCCGCAGGCGAGTGATGAATGGTTTCTTGAGTGAGGCAATTGCACTTTGCACTCGAGTTGCACATTATATTTTTCCTACAGTTCCCATAAAACAAATAAATTGGTAAAGAAACGTAACATATTTTTACACAGAAGTGAACTTTTAATATGACATTTAATGTGATGACAAATACAACAGTACAACAGCTGACCAGCTGATTTACGGCCAGTGCTGCCAACGTATTTCGCGTGCATACGACCTTGTCTGCATGTTACGCGCTCACTATTTCGTGCCTTCACGTTGCAAATCTGGAGTGAGACAAAGTAATTAGACAATGTTAACATTGTCTCACTGATGAGCGAATTGGCCACTTTGCTTTCTCAAATCAGTGAGAGAACATGTACATTGTTAGGTAACTGCAGGAAAAATTTTATTTATTTATTGTATTTCAATATTGTAATCCTAATATCGTATCCTAGTATGTATGTTGATTCCATAGGATATGTGGGAGTGAATTAAAAAATAATATATTATCCTGAGAGTTTCCAAGTTACAAACCTTGGACATAAGCTGCAAGGCATAAATGTCAGACGGTAATTTATTTACTAGGTACCAAGTTTATGCAACTATCCCAGGAGAGATTTTCATCAATGACCGTATCTAGTATTTGTTCATAAACTTCTGACGAATTGGACTGTTTAGTTCAGTAACAGGTGTTTGGCTCCAAAGTACGTACAACTTAATGAATAACAATACCATATAGTTTTATTACCAGCTGATTGATTTCTCTGTGTTCTGCGGCACTTAGCAGGGGGAGATGACACAGCCTTTGCCTGCTTGTCATCAAAATTTGTTGGTCTTCTTAATTTTGTATTCAGCTGAACCAAGCTTTGAACTTGGGCTAGCTTGTGTTCTGCAGCCTACAGACATTTCATTTTGGATCAAATAAATTAAAGAAACATAGTTGTTCATATCTACATACCATTAGTATAAATCTCCATTATTATTATAAATTGCAAAGAAAACAAAAAAAAACTGTCACTTCCAAAAGCCTTAATCGCTGTAGCAAAAAAAATTATAGGTTTTGCACATTGCACTTATTTTATAAGCTTTAATTCTCACCTGGGCAGCAGCTCTTCGACTCCTGTTAGACGATGTAGATGCTGAAGAATCATTCAGAGAAACACAGTCTGAACTGTCAGACCTTGCCTCAGCTTTGACTCGAGCCTCCGAGGACAGGGTTGATGTTTTAGGTGGCCGTCCCCTCCTCCTCGGCCCTTCTTTCTGCTGATCTTCTAAAATTACATTTATACCATCAAACAACTTCCATAGACACTATTGTTTATTCTTCAAAACTAAGTGTCATGTGAAAATAGTTTTTAGTTTTTGCACAGACTTTCTTTAACAACATTAACAACAGTAAATGAGCTGCAATACGAATAGCAAGCCAACGAATATATTTAATAATTAGCTTACTACCATCATTTAGGCCTAATTTTAGGCCTAACCAGAATTTTATAAATGTTTACTCCAGCATATGATATGCATCTATTTAATAACATAAAACTATCTTTGTTTGCATCTATTTAACATACAACTAGCTTTGCTTGGTAAATGTTTAGAATTGGAAAATAAACGCAAACACTAACAGTTTGTTTGGTATTCGTCTGTTTAAATATTGTTTTTTTTTAACACAACTTTACCTAATGAGTTTTTGTTGAGACAAGAGTCAGCTTTATTTATAAAAAATCAAAGTTAAATAGTAAATACTAATACCAACTTATATTTTTATATCCTTATTTCAATCAATCACTTGGTCAAAATGTGTAAACTATCTTATACAATTTAAATTATTTGTTCGAAAAGAACAAAAACTGTAAGTAATTTATTTATTTAGTCTTAAGCGTTAAATTTTTTTCAAGCAGAGCATTCCATTTTGTTTATACAGTAGAACCTTGATAAGAAGGCCCTTATGGGGATGATCAAATATGACTTGTTATCAAGGTTGACACCTTATAGAGGTTTGCAATAACATGCATTTAAGGGCAATTTAAAATCATGGGTATTTGAAAATGACACTTGTTATTGAGGGTCTTCTTATCAAGGTTCCACTGCAGTGCAACTTAACAAATTTATCTTTATTCATTATAATTTATATTCGGTGTTAAAATTTTTAAACCACATCCCGAGTATAGCTTGGGGTTTCAGTTCAATATATGTTCAATAATATATATATTTTTTTCTTTCTTTTTTCAATTCAAAGATTAAGTGGTCGGAACATGTTGAATATCTATAAAATAAATTACAATTATTTGTTTCGTAACTAGATGTGACTGAAGGTATCTACACTGTATTTTAAATGTTATATTATTACCTACGCATATATTAAAGATTAAATGCTTTCAAAGTCAATGTTAGGTAGGCCTATTTCAGGTTAGGATTGCGTTATCCACGATCTCCTACCTCACACCAAGACCTCAACCCTACACTCGTCAGTGTAATGCCTTATAAGCACACTAGCGCTTGCAGGTGAGATTCAATGAACAAACACCCCGCGCTATACTCGGGCTTAAGATTTAGTTTTAACACCGAATATAATTGTAATGAATAAAGATAAATTTGATATCATTGAAAACATTTTCCCATGTATTACCACCTAAACTTGCAATTTTGCAATAAACTTGACAAGGCATCTCCCGAGGCGTCATTATCGTATTCCATGATTGCGGAAATATCGTAAATACTTCCCGTAGTCATAAGTCAAGGAAGAAACATTATCATAATTTACCGTGATTGCAAATGCAACCAAACCTATGACATCATTAGATAGCAGCAGCATCGTCTCCCGCGTTCACGGCCCAATTTAATATCACGGTCTAATATCTCCCCGCTCCCCGTCGGTGGTGACAGGTAAATCATTTTTCCGTAATCGCAGCTGAATCCTAGATATATCTCTCGCTAAAAAAGATACGTCATTGTCGTCTTCCGCAATCCCGGCCAAATATTGAACATCTGCGGCCGCGGAGACATCGTCAATGTCACCCGTGGGGAAATGTTCTCGTCGACATCCGCAAAAGCGTAGGCCTATTCTTTCAATTTCGTGAGCGTGATCCTCACGGATATAAAAACTTTTACTTTTAATTATGCATTATTGTATTGAATACTGAGAAAATCGGCTCGAGCTTGATTTGATGACTGTCCTTAATCTCTCAAGCTTGTAGTCCAGGCTCTGCTTGGCTCGAAAATCGACATTATAGGCCTATTACAAAAATCAAACGTTTCCAAAGCAACCCGATTTTGAACCGATCTGATTTGGTCTGAGGCCCTTAGGTAAGTAACATTTTTTACCTGATTCGATGTAAACTAAACACATCTAAAGTGCGGAGTAAATAAATCTAAAGGGCAGCCTCCTAATAGTAAGGCATGAAATGAAATGAAATGAAAATCCTTCTTTAGCATCAATGAAAGAATGGAATTATTTATTAGCTAGTGCCCTAGCCACCTAGGTTAATTTGCCGATTTGGTCGTAACAAAATTGTCAAGTTTATTTAGTCGAATCAGCATAGAGGATCCTCTATGGTGTCACCCGCTGGGGACTAGGAGGATTAAAATTAATGTTTTACTTTCCTAGGCCAGCGGCCACATTGGTTATAAATACGGCCCTATTATTATGCAACAAATTTTGACTGCGTCTTCACACAATCCACGAGGACAGTTAATGCAAACTGCATGACTGATGACAATTCTTTTACGGTCGGTCAGTAATAGTGTTAGTTTAGCTGTTGTAAACTACTTGAACTATAGGTTTGAACACATTTTCATCATAAAAAAGGGATTTTAATTCTCATATAAATATTGTTATGATAGGGGATCCGTGTGGCTGAGCCTGTCACACTATCGTGGGCCCGTGTGCCGGTGAAATTTACCGAAAAACCCGGTCAAGGCTCACGGGCCCCCCAAGCTCGCGGCCCCCCCGCACCGTGGGCTATCGCCGCCACAGGTTACACTGAGAACAAAATTGAAACACTTGAGATGAAAGAAATAAATCACTTACAGTTTTGTTCTCTTCATAAATCATTAAAATTGGATGAGATAGTTTTAGTTTTCATATTTTGACCAAGTGACAGAAATAAGGTGCAAGGATTACGCCCATGCGATTGAAAGATTTAGACTTTTGCCATGATCGCGGATGTCAAAAACATTCCCCTGCGTGTGACGATGACGATGATGATGTCTCCTCGGCCACGGGAGACCTATTTCTGCACACGCCACACCCAGACAAAACAGCTCAGAGAACTAAACAGCTTTTAGTTGCAGTAATTTGTTTTAATTTTATTTTATCCTTTAAAAATCAGGAATTAATTGATTTTGAAGAATCAGGACGATGATGATAGCCAATGAATGATCGAATGATTCATCCATATGGTCTGAGCCCAGCCAAAGCTCATGTTCATGTTCAAAGCTCATCACATCCTAATAAGCACATCCGAGGCTAATTAGGTGTAATATTTTCTCCTCCCAAAATAAATAACACCTTACAATCTTAAGTCACTTAGTTTAGTTACCCCTGTGAATAATTGACAATATGATCATTAAAAACAATGCACCTTGGACAAACTTACCACAAGTTGTGTTGCTGACAACAGTGTTGCTGCCATCATTTGATTTAATTTTGATAGACTTATTTTTTATCCAATTCAATATTTCTTTAAGATCTTGAATATCATTCTGAAAAAAAAATAAAACAGCAAACAATGTATTTAAATTAATTATCAAAAATTCTTTTAAAACTATTTTTAATACTTTTTACTGTAAAAATATTTACTCAGAGAACTTGGGTTTGTACAGGCAAAATCATAGCGGCATCGCATACAGGGATTTGAATAATTTGTTTGTTAGCAAAAAAATTTACTCCACGATTGATTTTTAGTGAATTTTCTTATAGGAGTAGTTAAGCTATTGCCGTGGTATGGTATAGTACGACCTAGACCCAGGATCAATATTACTTTTCATTTTGATGTCCCTAGAGTAGGCCTTCAATCCGTTCAAATATTTATACCATGTGTCTGTAAACGCTATAACGCCCTATTTTGATGAAATTTGGCTTGAAGGGGTAGGGTGGGATAAACTTTAATGAGCTTGCTAACCAGCATGATTGGTTCATGAGAACAGGGTTTTGTGGGGTAAAAATTGGTTTTTCTCATTTTTGACGTCCTCAAAACATAAAATTTCGCAATTTAGTTTAAAAGCATTTTAAATACCTTAAAAAAATAAAATATTATTTAGTATATTATGTAGCCTAAGTGTTTTTACAGTTATTGGTTATGGTAGGCCTACGGAGAAATTTCAATAAAATTGTTAATTTAAAATTCCCAAGATATTCTTAAGGAGATTAAGTAAACTGTTGTAGTTTGTTGATATTAAGATCAAACTTGGTAAACTTATTTATTTTATACTAAGCAATTTATATTTTATTAAAAAACACACTTTATTACCCTCCCTGTAGCAGCAAACTAGGTAGGGCCTACTCGTTAAAACTAATGTAATTTTAAAATAGATTTAATTGAAAATCTAATAAAGAAAATTGAAATTCCCATAATCTACAGGTTTGCTGAGCGTGGTTCATTTATACAAAGAACCTTTGATAACACCGAGGTCGCTAGGACTTTGATGTTCAGGGTTACAGCAACACATTTTGATGAAAAATACTTTTAAAATATATGATTTAACAATAGGTACCGTTCATAGCAAGTAAAAATATCCAAATTGTGTTTTTTATGCAAACTTTTTTGTTTTAATAAGGTTGTGTTCTTAAAGATAACAGTAACACAAACGTGCTAAGCCCTTCTCAAAATTGTCTTAAAAAACTTAAAATGCAATATGATTAAAATTGTGCTAAACCAACACAATAAAGTAGGCCTATTTAAAATTACACAATCAAATGGTTCTGATGAAAGGGACTTAATTGAAATTTGTATTCGTTACTTAGGTTGAATAAAAGAGTTATTGATTTATCTTTCCAGTTTAAAAAGAATAAAATTACTTTTTGATTGAGTTTGACCTGAGCTATGAATTACTTGACCCTATGAAGTCAATATCAAAACATTGCGATGACAAATGCCACTATTGCTACCCTTTACGTTCTCAGGGTGTCTACTACATTCTGGATAAAAAATTCATGGACAATTCCCGTACATTTAAGGGCACTTTGGCGTAACCTTTGTCGGTGTCATTAGGCCTACCGAATAATTTTCCTGATTGGTCAAACTGTATTAATCTTGTTATTAACTGTAGTTGTACCAGAGAGAAGAGTAAATAATAATAGATAGCCTAAGAGTTAAAAATTTCAAAATAGAAATTTATTGACAGTAAACAAGCATAGGCCTACCTATACTTTAGGTAAAACTTTTATAGTGTAACAGAGAAACGCAATCATTGTCTCCTGCGATAGCGACAAATATCTCCATCGGTCACGTTAACTTCATAACATAGCTTATCCGATCCAGGCGGATTAATTTGGCACGATTCGCCCTGGCACAACGTTAGGCTCTCGACTACTTTTGAAAAAAATAAATCTTTAATGCATATTGTTGCTCAGTTCTTAGTACAAAATCAAGGTATGGTAAGCGGCTACCAATAAGCAATAAGCACAGAGTAAGATTATTGTATTTTCATTTGCAAAGTTAATATCGACACATAGCAATCATTAGTTGTTTATCTAGGCTCAATTACATTTTCTTAATATATTTTACAGCTCTTTCAAGAATCAAAATACCAGGCCTAGGCCTAATTATTTAGGAGGGCCTAAATAAACTGGGTAACAAACAATGAGGTTATAATAGCAGCAAAGTCACTATCATCATTCTAGTTCTTAAGATTTAGATTGCTTAAAGCATACAACTCAATAAATAAATATATGGGAAACAAAAAACATTTAAACCTGAATAGCCAACAATATAAGACAAAGATACAGAAAATGCAATGACATAATTTGAAACCAAGAAGGCCTACATAGTGATAAAACATTAATGCAAATAACAATGCTTGTAGTTTTGTCAATTGAAAGATAAAACATCCATAAAAAAGGGGTTAACTTACAAAATAAGACTGTAGATTATTTACATGTTTAATATGAAACCATAAACAGTTTTATGGCACTAGGCAATGGCCGCGGCAAAATGAATCTTCAAGCCAAGTACAAGTAAGAAGTGAAATTTAACAGCCATTATAAAGCTATTATTTTCACGATAAAATAGGTTTGGGATCTCATAATAATTCCTCATAATATAATCTCATAATAAGCCCTAGTAATAAAAACAGAAGTTGTAAAGGAATAAAAGTGATACAACTTTTATGAGCTAGCTAACTGAGTCAACAGTTCTTGGAAGTACTTGACTTGACACTTGATTGTCGTGATAAAATATTAATGGGTTTGAGATTGTTAATGGGATTTTTATTGCATACTCTAGTAATAAATTATGAAAATGTAAACAAACATCTGATAAACCTTTTATGTGCTCCTAACCAACTAGCGATCAATAAAATTATGACCCATTAAAAATTTAAGGACATAGTCTGGCATTTAAGGACAATTCCCGTACATTTCATGGCCAGTAAAAAATTAAGTACAATTCCCGGTTTTCCCGGTTGGTAGACACCCTGTCTGCAGACAGCTCATCCAGCTTGTCAACGGTTGGTGGCCAACCTAATGTGTGATTTACATTTTCTAGGTTAGTTTTTTTTTTAAATTGACTTTTTGTGGTTTTATTTTATTTTAATTTTTTTTTGTGGCCTGTGGGCCGTAGGTAGGAGACCCCTGGTCTAGAGGTTGCGGCATTATCCCTTATATACAATCCTTTGATGATTGGCAGGATTTGAACCCGGGATCTCAAGCACCAACGTCATAAGCTCTACCACTAAACCAGCTTGCTCTGTTTTCTAGGCTATTGCGTATCATGTGACTTTAAAATAATAGCCTACTAGAACTTATTAAATAATAATAATCTTATCTTAACAAATCACTAAATAATTGATATTTTTACTTTATTTTACATTACATAGAAACAAACATTAATAGCTACGTAACCAGTAGGCCTAATTGTTTTCCAGCCAAAAATTTAAAAACATAAATTCGGGCCTAAAACAACCTATAGCAACCTGAGGGCCCACATGATCAAGGGTGTAAAGTACTAGATCAATTTGCTGTTAAACAGCTACATACAAAGCAAAGAAGACTTTGCCTGCAATTCACATTCATATCCAATTTGTAATATCAATATAGTGATGCAATTGGATTCATTTATATAATGGCTACAATAAAAATTTGGAAAACGATCAATCTTTTGGATTGGGTTGCAATTTTCTATGCAATTTGCAACTATTGAACGTTTTCTTGGGAGGTTAGAGAAAAGTATAGGTTTTAATTAACTTTTCATTCATTGCTTGGGGCCACAAAATCTAGATGCTTGTTTATGTAGGTCTACCTATTTTAATCAAATTTAATTTGGCAAATTTGTTAATTTCATACTAAGCAATCTAGGTTTGAATCAAAAACACATGTTCCCTCTAGCAGCAAACCTAATTTCTTAGGCTACTCATTAACACTCATGAAATTTAATTAAAGGAAATAAATCTGACAATTTTAAGGGAATATTTTAGAGTAAATCTAGCCAGGTTAATGGAAATTAGCTTAATAGTCTACAGGTTTGCTGCGGCGAGGGTATATTTTTTATCATATGGAACTTAAAAACGGTTAATTATGATATTGGGTGATAAACTGATGAATTAGTTATTAAACTACTTTAGCCTACATAAGTTACATGAATTGGGGGAACAAACTAACTCTAGATTCTTACCTCTACGTCAACATCTTCCTGATTCCAAATTAGCCTGGATTTTTGAAGTGGTCCTTTGAGTTGAACTTTTAATGTTTCTAATATTTTCTTCATCTTTTTAAATCTTGCAATAAGTGATGGCGGCCAAAATACAGTATCTGAAAAAAAATGTTTACTAAATTTTATAATTGTACACATGATCTGTTATTTAGGCTATTTATTTTGTTTATTCTAACGGTTTCTCCGTTAGCCTCCTAGATACAATTTTGTGGTAACACTAGGTTTACAAGATGGCAGGTGTTAAAAATTGTAGGCCTAGTTAGTTAAGTAGGCCTATGTAATTCATCCTAGTGAAGCAAAAATAAATAAGTTAAGTTATTGTCAGTGATAACAGAAATCTTACAATAATAATAAATACAGTAACTAAATAAGACTTAAGAACTACAATAAATACTAGGCGTAACAAAAAAGTACCTATGCCAAGTAATAATGGTAAGACGTGATAGACTTTACAACAAACAATAGGCCTAGGTAACAACAACAATAAATAAGACCAACAAAATGGTAACCAACACAGGCCTACAACAACATCCCCATAACAATAACAAATTATAGACTAGGCCTTTATACATGTAAACAAAAAGTTAGCGATAAGAATAAAAGTATGACTAGCATTTTGTGAGTGGGTGTGTGCAAATGACTTATGGATAGGACACTGTGTCAACACCATACCATGCTGAATATCACCAACTTTCATGTGTATCACCTCGCCTACACTCACGATTACTAGAAAAATACCGGTATGGATCATAAACATAAACAAAGTGACATTGTTGGCCCGAATCCTATACTAATAGCATTGAATATATTTTGGCAGTTCCATTTAAGCAATGTTACATAATGTTTATTTCGGGCCAAAAACGTCATTTGTTTATGTTTATGATCCATACCGGTATTTTTCTAGTAATCGTGCCTACACTGCACCTTACTGAGGTAATACCAGCCTCAAAACAAAAACTAAGATGTGGCCCATCTATATATATAATACGCTAAGCCGATTTTTGTAAACAGAACTCCTCCCACATTTTTGGACCGATTTTAAAGATTAAAGTGTCAAAAGAATGGCCCTGATCTGTAGTTTTGCAAAGTGTTTTTAGTTTTTTTGAAATCTTTATTAGTCTGGGCAGGATCTTCCATCAAAGTAAGGTTTTCTCCCATAAGAATAACATGGGGGAATCTAAATATTTAATTGGAAACTTTGTCTCCACTAATTTGAGAGAACGGCTGGACGTAGAAACTTGGTAGAGGTCTCCAAAGAAAGGCCTTGGTCTGTAGATGAGTTATCAAAAGAAACACGAAGTAAAGTCCCTTAGGGCTCTGCCCCAGGAGCCTTTAAAGATCCCTCGACACATTTGCTTACATTTTGGAAAACACTTTTTAATGAAACAGCTGTTAATTTTTAAATTGTGCTTTAAACAACACATATTTATTTGGAGTTTCTGAGTTATCCAAAAGATGTAATTGCTATGTTATTTTCTGATTTTAAAATTGATATAACATTCTATTACGAAATCAGTGGAAATTCCTTTTATCACAGAACTTTTACAATAATTTCTTATTGAACTATGTAATATCTGTTGTACGGGTTGTTGTCTGCCTTTAACACCACTTTTGCCTATATTTTATCATATTATTCTACGGATCATCATAGGTTCATGAAATTATTGTCATACATGTTTTCAATCATTGGACAAATCTTCGATTGTGTAATACAATACAAAATAATACAAGTGCAGAAGAGCACGTTGCCCATTTGAGCCGTGTCCATATTTTTTTTAAAGTTTATAGTAGTTTATGAGGTTACAGCAACTGGATAAAACATTTTACAATATTTATGTATAAATATGTGCATGATTTAGAAAGTCATTAAGCTGTATAACTGCAATTTACTACAGACTATTCAGAGAGGTTACTTCGATGTATTCATTCAGCATAGTGAACCCATAATATGTATATATATATATATATATATATATATATATATATATATGTATACAAATAAAAATTGGAACTCTTAGAGAGCCTTTGAATGTTATTAGAATAACAAAATGGGTTGTGCATGTTTACTAGCGCTACTCAGCAACAAAAACCATTTAATTTATCTCTAAAAAATATATTCTTAAAGTGCACTAAGCAGCAGCCTAAAAAATAGTACGTAACTTTACCCATATAGTTACAAAATGCCCGAACTAGCATTGTCACATTTATAATTCGGCTTATAGTTCTCCAACAGATTATTTATTTGCAGAAGAAGTTTGTTGTGCTCTTATCGTGTCTAATAACATCCGAAGACAGAAACCTTGGCTAAAATGGTACCTATCTTTAAAAATTATTTCAGTGGCCCATATTACGGGCCGTGGCCCACTGGGTTGTTAACATGATTAAAAATAACACGACAGTTGGTTGTAAAATAGGCACAAAGAGTATAACCAGCTACTGTCATGACAGAAATGTCATATTCCTTTTAAACTAAGTTAGATCACATCATCCTTTATAAGATACGTTGTTTAACAATGCATGTAAACGTCAATATTTACGTAGCTGCCAATTTACAGTATTTTTTGCTTTTTGCAAATGCCGCATGCTATGTCAATTGCATTATTAGTTGCCAACGAAGGCGCACAACCATATAAACGAGGAGGTCCCTAAAAGTCCAAGAATAAAAGCCAACTTGACTTCAAGTATATTCCACTACACCTAACTTTCTGTAGATGAATTAGCGTAAACCCATGAAAGTAACCGTCGATTTCGACGGGTTTCACCTAGTTAGGGCTCTATTACACTTGGTCACCAGGCGACGTATATATATACCTATATACATTGTTAGTGTAATTCTGAAAATATTTATTTGTTGTTAATGGTTTGATAAATGGTATATCTTATGGTGATGTTATATTGTTACATGTTCATAGTACACATTTTTTTGCTGTGCTGTTGAATTTAGACTAGGCCTATTGTATTAATACGTTGCTGCTGTTGTTGTTGATTACCTATTTGTAGTATTTGTATCACATCTTGCTTTGATTTTTATTGTTATTTCTTGGTAATGTTTCAATGTAATGGGTTTCCCGTTGGAATAAATAAATGTCATAAATGACGTCACCAGTGACCGGACTGGTTGGAGGGAACTGGTACTTACGGCGCCTATTCGGCCTACACTAGGGTCACCGGTTGCGTCACCAGCCTTTGGTGACTGACCGGTGACTCTGCCCCGTGACCACAAGCAACCACTGGTGACAAAGATTTGTCGCTGGGTATTGAATCAAATGGCACATATTACACACAATCACCGCTGAGTGCGTCACCACTGTATATTTGTGTTATGCAAGTTAATATTGTTGCCAGTGTAGTGAGTGGACGTAATGTCTGAATGGTATGAAGAAATTCTACTTTTTGCTCTTTTGTTGAGGAAAAGGAGGAGACGAGCAAGGTAAATGCATGTGCACCCCCAATGAAAATGTAGTGGTAGGCCCTACATCTTTTTCACAACTACATTTTACACTAGACTGGCTTCCTTTCACTGAGTCGTCTTCCCTTTTTCCTTTCCCTGCATCTCTTCCCCGTTTATTCATTAATGTTTGTTCACTGGAGATTTTTTAAACTGAAAAGGTAAGACGTGGATAACAGAGCACTTTTTCCTTCAACGAGGTGACAGCGCTGAATGTATGTAGTCACTGGAGTAGAGGAACTTTGGGGGTTGGTCTCACTCTTGGTGACTTCTGGTGTTGAGGCTGGTTGCCCGTACAGTAACCGGCGACGTCACTGGTGACGTTGCTTGGTGACCAAGTGTAATAGGGCCCTTAACGGCACCACTTAAACAGGCACTACAAATCACTTGTTCACACAGGAAGGCAGGAAAAGGCTTCTATGATGTTCTCTTGAGTAAGTATCTTTAGGTGTCCCTCTTGACAGTTACAAAAGGAAGAAGAAAGCCCAAAGAAGTAGAAGCGAGACAAAGCCCCTTGACTTGCCCTCAGCAACCTGGACATCCCATGATGGTAGGAGTTAGTTGTTTCTTGCTTGGAATTGATTACAAGCAAAATAAAGCGAATAAAGTTTTGGACCTGGTTCCTCTCTAAGGGACAGAAAAGTATCTATTATTCAGCAAAGATGTGCAGTTGATGAGACCATTCACGAGATTGAAGAGGAACTGCAGGGATGAAACAGGCCCCAGGTCATAACATCTCCTTCTCGCGAGTGGTTCCAATAGGCCTAGCCTATTTCTCCAGGGAGACTAGGGATATTCTGAAAGTGGTTTAAGTTACCCCAATCTGAGACCAATCAGTCTAATAGGCTAAATCTTCTTTGTATCTTGTCAAGCATTCCATCTGATAACGCTAGTCAATGATTTATTTATTTATTTTACGGTAAACACCATTTTTACAATAGATAATACATGAGGGCAAGTTCAATAAAATATTTATAAATAATGGCCTATATAAGTTGGATTCAGATACATCTTGCTGACAAAATAAAAGATTGCTTACATGAAAAATTACACCAACAGGATTGTACCAAAAATGCTAACAAAGATTGGATAGGCCTAATGCGTATTATAAATCCTAGTTGAACAAGCATAAACATTTTTAGAGAAAAATAACGATTACCAAAACTAGATAACAGTTGATAAATATTTCAATATAATAACAATAACAAGCAAAAATATAAATATGTTTGATACAGTAATGATGATACAGTAGGCTAAAACTTATCACCAACAAGGTACAGTAACTTAGCCTACTTTAGAAAAGTTACTCGGAGTAAAACTGGTGTATTTTGGAAAAGTTTTTTACAGGCCTAGGTCTATTAAAATCAGAGCTGTCAAAATCTCACTTGTTTGGTTTTGTAACTAGGCTTACTGCAAACACTGAAAGTCAACAGAAAAATGTGTTCGAAGATGCAAAAGTCCACTCAACATGTTTAAAACTAAATAGCCTGCAAGCCAAATAAGATAAGGACCGAAAACATGCATGAATTACAATTAAAAAATATTCACTTTTTAATAATAAGACACTAGGACCTACCAACTAATGAAATTCTTAAAAAACAAAGTATGTCCTATCTCTTTGTCTGAAGTTCCTTGCCAAATTAGGTAGGTATACAAAATTAGACCTTAAACTATTTTACTTACTTACTGTTTTTTTAAGACAGAGTGAATCGTGATGAGGAAAAACGCGTGTTTTATTTCAAAATACACTATCACAAGCCCGACATAATAAGTAAAACTCGCTTACGGTGTAAAAATTAACGTTAACATTTCAGAGGAAATAGCCGAAACCCGAAACGAAATAGGCGGTTAAAATTGTCAATCTTAAACCTTAAACCTAAAAAAGTATAAGCCCAGCTGATTGTAAAAACGGTTTTGCCACCTCACTAGAGAAAACAACATTTTATTATTTTTGCGTACATATATACGCCAGTGATTTGTTTTAATGGTTAATGAGGGCTGTAAAAACAAGAGGTATTTATTCGAAGTCTTGAATAAATTCGTCGTCAAAACTAATATTTTTTTAACCAATAGTCCAATTACAAATGAAAGCTGGGTCTACAATCCTCATGCTCACTCTGACACTTACAAAAAACATCCTCTGGAGCTATTTAATCTATGGCCATCAACTTTGATTACTGTAAGTAGATTTCTCAAAATCCCAACTGAGAAAAGATTACAATTAATAATTATTTCACCACGCATGAAGGTAAGAAGGTTTTGAGTTAAGCCTCCGAATCACTAATCAATACGTGTACTGGTGAAATCCAGGACCTGCTGTCAAGTGATCCTTTTGACCTTGAAAGGCGACCGGTTTCGACCCTCACAGGGTCATCTTCAGGCGGACGTCGTCATCGTCTTTGCGTTCTTGCGAACACGTCGTTTTTTAAAAAACATTGAGGTTTACAGTTTTTAACATTTAAAACACTTAACACAAATCACGAAAAATGGCCAATAACTATTATGGTACCGATCGGTGGTGCGGCGGGCGACACGGAAGTTGAGTCTAGACTACAAGTTGAGCAGTCTAGAGTGTAACAGGTGAGATATAGATATCCCAAGATGTATTTTTTTATAGTCACCGGTGTCACTGAAGGGGGGGGGGCGCCAAGGTCCGCGGCCACCAAAGGTCGGCGACCACCAACCTGACTCAGAATTTGTGGTGCGAACTGGCTGATCCTGGACCCAAGGTGGAAAGATATGGACCAACGGTGCCGGGGGACGACGGAACACAGTTTGACTTGACCGGCCATGACTAAGTCTTCTTTATATAATTAATATGTATTTGTTTTTTACTGATACTATGATTATTATGGCATTTAAAATATAACTCAATAACTCATTTATTCAACAAAAGTAACAAATACAGATTTGCATTAGAATGTCAAACAAATTATATCTTTACGTCCAAAATTAAAATAAATAAATTGTGCTTCAATCAAACGAAATTGTCACTACGAGTGACAATTTTCACTCGTAAATTAAGTTTGAAGAAGCTTGAGCTGCTTCTTCAAACTTAGTTAAACCACAGATCAAACATAAACCCATCAGCGACACATTCACGGACACTGTGTAGCGACTCTTGGCCAAGATATGATGAGAGTAAGCTTTTGCGTGTATTGCAACAACTATTCCAGTTCCAATATCATTTCAATAATTAATTATTTTGTTACTTTACATTATTGTTAATTATTACCAATATTATTATGTTTCACAACTATTGTAATATTAATATTTTCTACTGAAATAACCACAACCTCAAAAATATATTTGACTAGCTGCCCATGGCTTCACTCCGTTTAAGTTAATGAGTATTAATTTTATTTACAGCGTTTATTTCTTGTTCAATGATGACATTATTCACAGAAGTGTTAACAAAATAAACAAGACATTAACAATAATAACATCGTGGTTTGCCCAGATCTGAGACACCCTGTAAAAAACATACTCGTTAGTCTATGCTTCGACGTAGCCTCCTGTTCTCAGTTGCTTCGCCAAGATGAAAGTTAATGCACCAGGAACATTGTTTAAAGATTTCAGAAATTTTGAGGGGGTTTTTTCAATAAAGGCCGAGATAGACTCCACTCCTAGCTCTTCATGTATATGCCTGTTTCTAACAAACCACTCACCGTTATTCTTAGAATTTTATTTTGAATCACTTGAATTTAGAGGAGTTTGTTTTTTGATATAGCTAATCCCCAGATAGGAGGCTGAATTTTTAGTTCAGGATTAATTTGGCCAACAGTGTCATTTGGAGGCTTCTGATTGGCTGAGGAAACTCCATTACCGGAACTATACAGTTTGCCGTTATCGGCCTCGGTGGTATAGTAGATAGGGTGCTTGACTGATAAACGGGAGGGCCGGGTTTGAATCCCTCCAAGAGCACTAACTTTTTATCTAGGATTTTTTCATTATCAGCAAGTTTGGTTGGTTTGGTTAGGTTATGACCTTATAATTTTAACATTTTAACATTATAAAATTGAATTTGAACCATTTATAGTTTTATTTTATGAACAGAACAATTTTTCCGATTAAACCTTTATTAGATTTTTCATTATCAGCAAGTCTGGTTAGTTTGGTTAGGTTATGACAGTTTAATTTCATGATTTAAAAAATATAAAATTGAATTTGAGGCATTTATTATTTTATTCAATGAACAGATCTAATTTTTCGATTAGTAAACCTTCAATAGTCAATCAGAAGCCTCCAAATCACACTGTTGGCATAATTTATCCTGAAAAACAAATCGTGCAGATAGGAGATGCAAATGTAATCAAAGGCCGAATCATTGATTTGTAGATTAGATAATTATTAATAAAACTATTGATTGGTTATAAGTTAAGCAGAAATAAACAAAACCGTATACCAATGGTAATACACATACAAATAATTTGGGTCTGACTTACGGGAGGTATAAATGAGGCAACGATGATATCATAGATTAGTTCAAAATTCTTCCATTGGACAGCGCTATAGTAGAGAGCACAGCGCGTAATTTTTATTTCACTATTAGTTTTGCCATCAGTGTCATTAATTTGGAAGCTTCTGTTTGGGTTCTGATCCATAATGTCACACTTAATTATAAAATTTAAAAAGTTATAAAATTAATCTTATAATTTTTTAATTATGAAACTAAACTGTCATAACCTACCCAAACTTGCTGATAGTGAAAAAATCGAATGAAGGTTTACTAATCGAAAAAATAGTTCCGTTCAAAAATTAAATTATAAATGCCTCAAATTCAATTTTATAATTTTTTTTATTATAAAATTAAACTGTAACCTAACCAAACTTGCTGATAATAAAAAAATCAAATAAAGGTTTTAACCGAAAAATAATTCTGTTGATAAAATAAAATTATAAATGCCTTAAATTCTTATAAAAGATGTACAGTTAAGAAGTATTCTATGCTAAATCTTTGACAAATAGTTAACGGCTCCGCGGTGGGATTCGAATCGCCTACTATCAGTTTATTAGCCAGGTACGCTGTCCAATACAACACCGAGGCTCATGGCTCTACTCCGTATCGTTGCGGTAATGGTGTTCCCTCAAGCTCAAAGAAGATATCTGACAGATGACGTAATCGAAGGCTCTTCTATACCTTCCTTGAGTAAATACCAAATAATTACATCTGATTTTAATAAGGTAATACATTGGTAGAATAACAAACAAATGAGTACAGCTGAGGTATTTAGGTATATGAAAAGTACCCTTTGGTAAGGAATTACGACCTTAAAGGGCAATTTATGAAAATGGATAGTTTTGCGCAAGGTTTCTCGTCATGACGAACATTTAAAGTATGGTTTATTAGGGTGTAACTTTTAGTTTTCTCAAAAGTTCATGGGTACTTTGGGATTTAGATAATAAAGCTTAATACCCCCGCCGCAGCAAACCTGCCGTCTAAGCGAATTTCCATTTGGCCGAATTGATTTTCAATTGATCTATTTAAATAACATTAGGTTTAACGAGTACCTAGGTTTGCTGCTACAAGGAAACTAATAAAGTAGTGTGTTTTTAGTAAAATATTTATAGCTTACTATAAAATAAATAAATTTGCCAAGTTTGATCAAAATATATCCATAAACAAGCAAACTACAACATTTTACAATATTCTCCATAAGAATAACATGGGAATTTTAAATTTACCATTTTTTTAGTTTTCTCCGTAACCAATAACCGTACAAAAACACTTTGATATACTGAATTGTTTTTTTTTTAAGCTCTTTAAGAAGGTTTAGAGAAAAATTGGGAAATTTTGTGTTTTGAGGGTAAGAAGTGAGAAAAACCAATTTTTACCCCATAAAACCCTGTTCCCATAGTCCGATCATGCTGGATCGCGAACTCATTCAAGTTTATCCCGCCTTACACCTTCAAACCAAATTTCATCAAAATCGGATAAAAATTACTCAAGTTATCGGTTTCACGGACACATACATATATAAATCTATATATATATATATATATATATATATATATATATATATACATATATAAAAATTTGAACGAATGGTGTTTTTGGCCTCTGGGGACATTAAAATGAAAAAAGTAAATCGGTCCCGGGCCTAAGTCTTACCATGAGACCTACGGTAATAGCTACTTCCCTATAGGGAAATTCGCTAAAAGTTGGACTTTTTCCCTCAAATTAAAATAGTTATCATACGAAATTAAATTATGATAATTAAAATACAATACAAACATGTTTACTTTCAGGCCAACGACGTAAGGTGTTTATGTTTATTATTAATTCATATCGCATTTAAATTCACAGTAAGTTGGATTAAGCAATGGACTAACAAAAACAAGTAGACTTCTCATCCCATTGTAAATATTGAAGCTCATTTTTGTGTCTAGTTCATGTCCAGTCCGGTGGGTGGTGATACTGATCACTAGGATTGAAGAAATTGTGTTTCTATTATTTTAGGGTTGATTTAATGATTTGTGCTTCACCTATACAGTTCACCGGACAGAACTGAACTAGCAATACAATTGGCTTCAGCTGTTCCTTGAGGATAAGAAATCTACTAGAATTAGGGAGTATGTTTAATCTATGATTAAGCACTAACCACAACAGACCCCATGTCATGGTACTTTTATACATATTAAAATACATGTAACATATGGTGAGATTAATTTATTCTATGATGGTGGGCCTTGATTATGGAGTCCAATAGTCACAGACTATTGAGTAAACGATAGTCGTCTCGTCAGTCTTCTTTGTTTGACTTTTGGTCCATATGTTATTAGGTTAATAAAAAAATGTCAAATTTTTCATGGTGAACATTCATAACAACATAACATCGTGAAGTGTCATTTTCTTATTGTTTGTATTGTATTGTATTTTCACCACGATGAACTGCGATTCCACATACTAGAAGATCACATTAATTTTAGATACATTCCTACGAATATACATTTTAATAATTAATTGTTGATAGCATACATCCAAAACGATAATGGAAGCCTGCATTGCAGTTGAAAGAGAAATTGATAAAGTACTAACTAAATTTGGATGTATCAATGAACATGCTGAGAGAGTAATGAGAGAAATTTGTACTCATTTTGAAAACCTCAAGAAAGAATTAGATGATTGTAAGTAGCCTTCGAAACAATCCAGGCCTTTAGCTGATTACATTTAACAGGCTTATTATCTTGAAATCAATGAGATTTAGATTTGTCAAGTCTGTAAAAACAAGGCCAACTTAGTAATAAGGTACCTGATAACCAAGCCCAATGTATATTTTAAGGCCTGTCGGAGAAATGTATTGAGCAAATAGGCCTAGGCCTAGTTGGGTGGCATCGGGTTGTTGACCTGAGATCCATCCTGAGAAAAAGTCACTAGTAGGCTGAGTTTAGCGTTTTGATGGTTTAAAACTGAATTCAGCGGTGGGGCACACGGGAGGGACTAAGGCTAACATATCTTGTAGTGTCAGCGTTCGCCGCTAGGACTGCTAAGTTGAAAAAATTTAAATTAATTTTTAATTTTTTGTTATAAAATTAACTTTGTAATTATTAAATTAAAATTACAAAATAAATTTTTAATTTTTAAAATTAAATTGTCATAACATAACCTAACCAACCAGACTTGCTGATAATATAAAAACTATATAAAATAAAAATCTAATTAATGATAACTTATAATTTTTAATTAATTATAAAATTAATTTTAAAATTTAGTATTATAAAATTAAACTGTCATAACCTAACCTAACCAACCAAACTTGCTGATATGAAAAATTTGTTGATAAAAAGTTAGTGCCACCGGCGGGTTTCGAACCCCGGACCTCCTGAACATCTACCCGAAACGCTACCAACTTTGCCACGAACGCCGCTGAAATCACATCGTTTCGTTACGGTAATCGTGTCGCCTCAAGAGAAGACATTAACCACTAGAGATATGACGTCACTACACCTGAGCCTTAGTCCCTTCCGTGTGCCCATTCCCTGAATTCAGCTTAGTTATTCTTCATAAGTTTATTGTGCTTTCAATTTTACAGTCTTAAGTTATGGGTAGAGAACTAACTTAGCTGATTGTAAAAGGAAAGCTTTCGTTAGCGAAGCCATCATCCATTTAACACTCATTCTCAGTAATCTTTGCATATAAAATCAAACTTAGGCCTACGCACCTTGGTGTCCCGACATTGTTCATGTTTAAGTTAGGTCTCATCTAATCTTTCGGGTAGACTTCCATAACTTATTTGTTGGCACAAACAACCAAATGAGAATATCGATTGATATATGAAGAAAATGCTTTATTTTCCATTAGGCATGAAATGTAATAGGCATCGTCATAACAAAAATAACAATATACAATTTTCATAAAAATTAAAACTAATATGCAAAAATCACACAGCAAACAAAACCAAAAACAAACCAAAATATCAAATGAAACAATCGAATAATCAATATTTTCACTCGGTTGTTTGTGCCAACAGATACGGAAGTCACCCAATCTTACTAGGCCTATTTAGGCTATAGGCTATCGGGCAAATGTTTTAACTCTAAAATTAAATCCACGTCAATCTCATTGGACATTCTCAACAATGAGTTGGCTACAAAAATAAATTTTTACGACCAAATGTCTACATTGTGCTGAATGTCCAGTAAATATAAAAGTCCATAATCAGTTAGAGTTTAAACTAGCCTAGTATATTATTTAAATTTTAGGCCTATTATTTGCAAGTGCTAAGTTACCCTGGCCCAGCTGAAACCAGCAAAAATCAACCTTTGAAGAGCATTTTAATTCATTTTAACCCTAGGAGTGGCCAATGTTAGAAGTGGGGAATGGCCAACCCATTTTGGCGATTTTGCAGACTTTTTTTGAAAATTCGTAAAAATTCAACCGTACAAGTAAACCTAGCCAACCTCATATTCATTTTGTTTGGAAAGAACAGGAGAATCTAGAAATAGTAATATCATAATGATTTCGATAGTGTATATTATCGGTAAAGTGAAAAAAATAAAGAAATGAAATTTCAAAAGCGGCCTCGGTATTTTTTTTTTACGGATTTTTTTATGGGAAATTCATTATATAGGCTACATTTTGTAGACAATCTAATTCCCTACATAGAAATATATAACATGTTAGGAAAATATTTTTTTTTATAAGTTTTTGGGGCGAAATATAATGACAAACGGAGAACCGAAAAAATTGAAAACCGTACAGTGTTAGTTTATGTTGTAAAAAGTTCTATAATATATGTGTATACTAATAATGATATATACATGTTTGTAAAGCTAATGAAGTAAGGAATCAAAAAAAGTCATAAAGTTTATGGTAAAAATAACTTTTTATCTATAAACATATGTATATAAAATAATGTTTTTATATTTTAGCGATTTCTCGAGAAAAAAAATTCACAGTACTTAGTATACAACTTTTGTACCAAATTTTTTAACTTCAAACCAACATAATAATCTTGTAGTGTATTCAATTACCTACATAAAAATGTATAACATGTTAGAAATATTTTTTTTGTAGGTACGTAATAGGGACATAATAATACAATAACCGCAAAACCGCAAATAAGTGTAAACTATAGCCTACAGTGTTTGCTTGTGTTGTGAAACATTATGTAGGCTGATGATATGTAGCCTACATATTTGTAAAGCTAATGAAATAAGGAATCCAAAAAAGTCATAAGTATGATGGTAAAAAGTTATTTTCACCTATGATTAGGCTATGAATCAATTTGAGAACGTTTTGAATTTTTTGCGTATTTCGAGAAAATGGAGTGTACAGTATTTAGTAGCCTAGCCTATATAATTTTTTTACCAAATTTTTTACACCCAAACCAATATAAACATGTTGTAGTGTATTTATTTACCTTTATAAAAATGTATAACACCTTGGGTACCTATATCATTATATAGGTACAACAATCTCTGAATGTCAGAAACGTCATTTTAGGACATGATGCTAACAAAATACAGTAGTAGGCCTATTTAGTATAGGCTATAACTTTTTTACAAAATTTTTTACCCCCAAACCATTATAAACATGTTGTAGTGTATTCATTTACCTTTATAAAAATGTATAACACCTTGGGTATATCATTATATAGGTACAACAATCTCTGAATGTCAGAATCGTCATTTTAGGACATGATGCTAACAAAATACAACCTTTTATGAACACTATTTCACACAATTCAGTAATATTTATGCATGAAGATTACTGTTATACACACACACAACACTTCACTAACACTAACACTACGAACTAATAACATATTTAGTAATAAATCGCGGATAAAACTATTACCGGCAACAACACAAACAAACAATGGCAATACAAGACAGCTGACAGACAGTAGCAGTAATGACTCACTTGTCGTCTACATGCGAGCATACAGAAAAATAACCCTGAGTGCAGGGCTGCCACTCTCTGAATCTAAATTTCTTCCTCTTCAAAATGATATACTATATGACTAGTAATAATAACTTTCACTGTATATAATTCGTATTTTCCATACTGTCACCAGACGACTGTTGGCCATTTGTTAGAAATTTCGAAAACAGCTGTTTTCATAAAATCGTACCGATTGTGCAATCAATATTTAGTTATAAATATCACCACCACAATGAAGATAAAATCAATGGCTATCCAGTGGTACCACCCGCAACATCCCAAGACGAAAATTACCCGAGCAGGGTAATGCCAAACAAGACGTGTTTTGCCAGTTCCCAAGTGTCGGCTGCAAAAGTCGTACCACGCCAAAATTTCATTTGATTTCTAATCGTCGTGACATTGTTATAAACCTGCTACAGGGTTTGTTTTATGTAATCAAATGAAAGTTCAGAATGTGATCTTTCGAATGGTATATATATTATTCTCATCTGAGTTGATTGTAAGTGTTTTTTTTACCGTTAAAAAAACTTCGGCCCATACGGTCACCAGACGACATTGGCCATTCTAAGCATCAACGTCATACCGTCACCAGACGATGGTTGGCCACTGCTAGGGTTAACCATTCGACAAAATTATACATTTAGTAGGGAAAACTACATAATACAGTAGGCCTATGAATATACATAACCTTCGCAAGCACAGTTTTATCTGACAGTTTCAAGCCAAACGAAATGCTTTGCAATTAAATGTTCACCCGGATATTAATCTTTTTTATCTATGTTTGATATCCAATGACTGAACTAAAAAAAACAGCTTTACAGATCTATGAGGCATAGCCCAAGTTATGAATGAAAGCTATATATTCCACACTGGTTTAAAGTACCTAGTTAATACTACTGATCATTGCATACTTTATTCCGGTCGATATTTTCACTATCAAAGGTGCTCTTGTATTTTCTGTGAAACACTGAGAAATAAGGGCACTAATGTGTTACCAACAGACACTCAAAACTTAAAATTAAAGACAGAATCAAATGAGGACATTTACTTCGCTATAATCAAACCTATGTAGGCCTATAAATAAAATTAGGCCTAGTAGGCTATTTGAAAAATTTTGTAGTATCACCGTTTTGTAGTATATGGTCACATTTACTTATAGTGCAGTGATTATGCTGATTGTAATGACAACTTATATTACCTATTTTTTAATCCCAAAGTGAAATCCCATGTTTAATCCCGAAATGGCGTCAAAATGACTGCATACCATTAATGTACAATACACTTAAACTACAAACTATTGATAATCAAACAAGGTGCACAGAAGGAGCCTCCCCGAAGATTGTGACCATTAGACGCTATGAACGACATCACAATCGGGCGCACCCCGGGCAACGCTGACATGTCAGCGGCAAATCCTTCTACAACCGGACGACTTCGAAAAATGAATCTACCTAAACGGTCTTTTACATAGCCATTAGTAACGATCTCGATTAATATCGAGGGAATATCGAGAGACAAAGAAGTACTACTGTCTGATATGTGCAAGACGTACGAATGCGACTTCCTCCATGTGCAAGAAACACACCGGGGCATTTTAAAACCTAGACCCAACATAGAGGGAATGAGACTGATTCTAGAGAGACCTCATGATCAATATGGTAGTGCTGTTTTTGCCAGGCCATACATTGACATCACCTCAGCTTCGCTTACTGAGAGGAACAATACTGAGATACTAACGGTCAGGACACCACAGTACAGTGTCACCTCTTTGTATAAGCCTCCCGAATCTCAGTATGTATTTACAGAGCCCGATATTTGGTTTTTGAATACATTTTGCAGTGGACTGAAAACCGGGTTTCTTGTCTTGACCTTCAAATTATTTTTGTTATCGTTTACTAAGAATTAAAACTTCCCTTCGGCTTTTGACTTAGACCTATCCAGAATTATCTATGTAAATTTAAGAAATAATTTAACCAAAAAGTATTTCCTTCTACTTTATAATACAGTAGGAGTAGACTTTCAGTATTCCAGCAGATTTTTCAGATTTTTGAAACAATTAAATATTTTTTAAATATTGCTGAGACTCAAGAATTGCCTGTGTATAATTATAATACAAGGAGTAAAAATTATTTAGCTAAAGAAAAACCAAGACTTGAACGTTTTAAAAATAAACCTTCTTATATTGGAAACTATATTTTTAGAAAACTTCCTAGCTTTTTAAAAAAAGAAAAAGACAAATCTAAATTTATGAAAAATCTGAAGGCATTCTTATTTGACCTTGCACCTTACAAAATAGAAGATTATAGTAATTTCAATTTAAAATAATGTAGCCTACAGTATTTTGTTTAAATGTTTCTTATTGCTAATTTAGGTAGTAAGTAACAATAGACACTATTCATGTACGAAAATTTGTACTGTGTGAATAAAGACTCTTTGAATCTTGAATCTTGAATATAGGACCGTGATACTGCCGAAATTAGTGATACTGCGGGATTACTGGAATGTCATCAAACACTTAAAATGCACTTAAAACATGTCTCCGAAGATTGTGCGATCAGAAACCGCTATTGCCACGATCGGGCATGATGACGATGACGTTTGCGTAACTTTGGGAGATGATGATAATGTCTACACTATCACTAGATAATCATGATTTTGCCGCAATAGCGCATGACGACGATGACATATAACCGTGACCGCGGGAGGCGATGATAATGTCTAAACGACCGCAGGAGATGTTCATGATATTGCCACGATCGAGAAAGATGATGATGACGTTTCCGTGAGCGAGGGATTGGATGATGTTGTCAACACGGTTGCGTGAGATAGTCGGGATTTTGGAAGACCTCACCCGTCAAGAGACACCGGATTACTGGAGTGCCGGAGTGGCGCAGTGCCGGATTAGAGGGGGTCTTTGGCAAAATTGCGTTGAACCCCGTTGATGATATTAAATCGCCTTTCTCTTACAAAAATTACTTGAACCATTGAATGCTGTAGATTGTGCATCCTAACTTTCTCTTTGGTAAGCTATGTCTCATATTGATTCCAAAAATTGTACGCAGTTGACTATTTTTCTGTATAATAAATATCTAGTTCTCAATTTAATAATTTGGCTAGGCTATCAACCATCAAAGTTGTGAATTAATTAGTGTTTTGGGTTGTTTCTAAATCTACTTTATCCAGTGTATTATAATAATGAAAGATCTTTTTAGGTCCTCCCGATCATGAGTTGACAGCCTCGCAGATTATTATAATGAAGCAAGCGATGAATAAAGTTCGGGAAACTGTACAGAGGCTTGCCACAGACCACAGAGATCTTCATAGTACTGTTTCCAAAGTAGGAAAAGCTATTGATAGGGTAAGTAATACTTTGATATATGCTTATTAACCAGGATTACCATATATTTTTGTTGACCATAACCAAATCACACCTCATGGGTTAGGAATATTCCACTAATAAATAGAGGTGTGCGGATAGTGAAATTTCATTTCGGATCGGATAGTTGAGGCTCAGTTCGGATCGGATCGGATATTGGGAGGTTCGGATTCGGATATTTTCGGAGTCGGATAGTTCGGATCGGTTAATAATAAGCTGCATATGCATTTTTAACCTAAAACACTGTAAAGCTGTGTAAATAAACTTAAATGACGATTTTGAATTATAGAATTTAAATTAGCCACGTCCACAGTTTTTTCTCTCTTGAAAATCACAATTCACAACATCTATTTTCAAAAGTTGGTTGCTTGAATGAAGTACACTAGCAGCCGAAATCTACACACAACACTTTAGCTCAGCAGGACTGATGTCAAACGTTTGGGCTTGTTTACTTGAGGTTATGTTTTATGTTGTTTCCTGGTTCTCGCAAGACAAGGAGTTCTATCTTAAGTTTATTTTCACATTGTATTTCCTTACGTTTTTGGAACGGATTATTGGCCTTAAGGGGCATTCTGCGGGTTTGCCAAGTTTAGAAAACATCACTAATGCACTAAGCTGGGCTCTAGATTTGATGTTGTGGCAAGTTAATTAGGGCAATTAGGCTTTATAACTCTGTAAAAGGTGTCTATCCCTGAATTTATAAATTTTATTCTACACTTATTCACTGCCAAACATAATTCAGTAGAGCCTTGATGAACAGAGAATTACACTAGCCTACATAACTTCATTACCCCAAGTAAAATACCAAGATAATTTTTAAAATTGTATTTGAATAGTATAATCTTAGTTTGTTAAAAATAGATTGTATATTCAACAATTATTGCAGTCCATAATGGTTAGGGAGCCTACCAGTAGACCGACAAGATACTTGGTCGTCTGGCCACTAGACCGTCTTTTTTAATTAAATAGATAAATACTGAAAACCAGTACGTCGACAAGTTATTTCATCGTCATTCCAGTTGACCGGCCTGTAAAACTAAATTATTATATACGAGAAACCTACTTGTCGTCAATCGACCCGACCGACTTACCACTTGCTCGTCTTTTAGGTGGGGATAGGGGGCAGAGTGGGAGGAGCTAACCGGGGATTACCCAGGAGTTTGAGGCGCTTCTCGTGGTTGAACCACGTCGCTCGAGGCTAGAAGCCAGTCTTGCCAACTGAAAGTAGCCTAGCTCCGTCGAACACTACACACTCGGCGTGTTTATACAGTCTGGAGTTTAGTTGACGTTGGCGCGCAATTCTAATGGATAGTTTCGTCGTTTCTATAGCAACCGTGAAGTGACCTCGTTCTCGCGCATTCCTCTGCCTTTGTATTATTTAATCTGCTTTGAAAGATAAGACTCGCTTATGTGCATTGACTATTGAATCAAATAACAATATCATTAGGGGGTTTTGATCGTTTGTTTGGATAAAACTACGTACCGTATATTGTAGAATTACATTTGTAGTGTGGTAATATGGTGTATATATATATATAATTAATACGCTACATGAAACTTTGTCGGTTGAACTCCTCCGCCATTTCTTAACCGATTTTATCCATTGACATCTCATTGGAAAGAGCGTGTCGCGTAGATTTGCCAACTGGCCTTACATCTTTTACAAAGTCCCTTGGGTTCTGCCCCAGTGGCTTTGAAAGTTCCCATGTTATCCTTATGAAGAACATAATTGTTTACATTTTGATCAGCTGTATAATTTAATTACTGTTATTTATTTTTCGATTCAATGAAACGCATTGAGTAAATTTATTTACTATTTGAGTTTGTGTAAACATAACCCCCAAAACGAAAACGGACCGTGTTAGTATGGTTGTATCTTGAATTTATATATTTATCGTTGCTTTGTGTCGCTATGACAGATCGTGTTAGCATGATTGTAACTTAAATTTGTGCATTTATCGTTGTTTTGTGTAGCTATAATTTGTTTATTTGTTGTTTTTTTCTTTTAAATGCCTCCGACGCGACAACAACGAAACATAGAAAGGAGGCGTACACGTCAGCACCTGACCCTGGACAATCTCAACTATTAGGTTACGAATGCGAGCTAACACTACCCCTAAAAGACTTTTCGTTCTCAATTTGACCCTCCACAATGACATGTGTTGCCTGTACAGCGAGGCATTTTGAGAAGGAGAAAACCAGCCGGAATGCTTAAGGTTTATCAATAACGAAGATCAGGGATTTAGGTAATCAGGGTCTGAGTTACACAATGGTAATATTTGAGTTGACTCTTTTTAAACTCTTTTTAAACTTTGAGTTAAACTTTTTTAATTATGACTGTTATTGGTTTTGAAATAACCCCTGTAATACTTTGCAATTGCTTGAATTTGAGCAACATGTACACTAGTATATATATAGGACCTGTGTATAATTTTGGGTAACATGGAGGTCAATTTACCTTGTGTAGGCCTATATCAAAAAAGTTTAATATCTTAAATTAATCCAAACGATTCATAGTAGCCAACAGGCACAAAGTATTGTAATTATGCAAGATGTTGTAAATTTCAAACATGTGTAACAGTTAAGTTTACTGCAACAGTAGTTCGTTAGGATTGCCTATTTAAGTAAGTTGTTATTAGGTGTATAAGTCGTTCATCAAGCGTCATGAGAAACGAAATCTGTTATAGAAGTGAAAAAATACAGTTAATCAAATGGTGCTGTATATAAAATATCTGCAAATAAAATTAGAGTTTTGTCTGTACACTGTTCAGAATGACATATTTTCCTCCTCGATAAGGGTTTACCTCCTCGCAAGCTATGTCAAAAAAGGTGTAATTGTAATTTTACTAAGAAAATTAAATCCAAAAAAAGGACTGGTTAATAGAACCAGATTAATGGCGAAAGTTATGAATGATGAAGTCTTGAAATTATTACTTGAAGTTCAGCTGGAAAACGAGTGTTCCTCTAAAATTCGTCCTCGAAAAGTTGGTCTTTATCTGCTAGAGCTGCATCCCCTGCTTACAGCATGGGGAATTGTACGTAACAATTTCAAGATGCCGCGCTTTTGATGATCTAAAAATAATGGTTAAAGAACAACGAAACCAAGGTCATTTGGCTGAAGACATTAGAGTGTTTACAAAAAGACATGGTATGTGAAGAGTTTCTTATTTAACATTTTAAAAGTAAGATAAACATTTTAACTGGTCTGTCAGTCAGTATTCTAAGCCTACTCTGTTAAAACCTTTATTAAAACAGTATTGAGCTTAAGATTTTTATTTACGGTTAGTTAAAAGTTAAGCGCTTAAAATTCTTCCTTTTTTTGTATTGAGAAGTTAAAAGGTAATTAAATTTTTTTAATGATTTTTAAATAGGTACTGTAGGCTATAGTTAATATTAACTGGAAACAACTAGTCTATACTAGAGTAACAAATTACAAAATACAATACAAAGGGAAAGGGCATTCCTATGAATGCTATTGAGCATTGATTATTTAATGTATTTGGGTTTTATGATGTATTACTAACCAAAGGAATACTTACTAACCAACCGCGATACCAGTGACTTAATAACGGTCAACAGATGTTGGGTATCACAAGCTTAAAGGATCGCTAGACAAAGTTGCCCGAATCGCATGGATGGTAAAATAACTTCTTAAGAGTTAAGAATTTTATATTTGAATTTCAACACAAAAAATCTTTTAAAATCAATATTTCATTTTCTCCGTAATTTTCTCTCTACAGCTTAAACCATACATTTTCGAAAGTTTAAAAATACCATAATCGGATTCCTCACCTATTAAAACATACATTTTGACATACGGATCAATATATTTGTACAATCCGTTCCTTAATAAAAACCTATATATTGTCATAATCGTCGCGCGAAATATAAGAATTTGTATCGACCTTATGGCTACATTTTCGATCATAGTTGTAATAAACATTATGAATCGGCATACTTTGGGGTAGGAGTTAAGAATTTTATATTTGAATTTCAACACAAAAAAATCTTTTAAAATCAATATTTGATTTTCTCCGTAATTTTCTCTCTACAGCTTAAACCATACATTTTCGAAACTTTGAAAATACCAAAATCGTATTCCTCACCTACTAAAACATACATTTCGACATACGGATCAATATATTTGTACAATCCGTTCCTTAATAAAAATCTATATATTTTCATATTCGTCGCGCGAAATATAAGTTTTTGTATCGACCTTATGGCTACATCATCGATCATAGTTGTAATAAACATTATGAATCGGTATATTTTGGGGTAGGATTTAAGAATTTTATTTTAGAATTTCAACACAAAAAATCGTTTAAATTATATATTTGATTTTCACCGTAATTTTATCTCTACAGCCTAAACCATACATTTTCGAAAGTTTAAAAATACCATAATCGGATTCCTCACCTATTAAAACATACATTTTGACATACGGATCATGGTATGTCCGATTCGTGGTTTAATTCGATTCGTTACAAATTATTCAATTAAAATGCCATCAAAAACTACTTTCGGCCAGATATTTGGTTGGAATGTGGAATATCTTAGCTATTGTATAAAATTATAGCTTAACTAGTGTACATGTTGCTCGAAATCGAGCAATTGCAAAGAAGTACAGGAGTTACATATAAACAAATGACTTGTTAAAAAACTAATAACAGTCATAATTTCCGATGATTTTAAAAGAGTCAACTAAAAGATTATTAACTAATGGAAATACTCACAATTTACATAACAGTCCTATTCCAGTTTAAAGGGTTATTTTTTAACTATCAAACTGCCCATGGACGGGAAATGGTAAGCTTACAATTTAAGTCAAAATAAAAAGTCTGTCAGCTTTTATAATGTACTGTACCTAAGTTATTTAGCCAATTTGTAGACAATAAGGTATAGGCTACAAACTCTACAGAACTCTCATGCTTCCATGGGGAGCAACTAATTATTAATATTTAATTCCTAACAACAGCTGG